TAAGGATTGAAATTTAACTGTTAAAACTCTAGGGTATGGAATTAAAGTTTCGTTTAATGAGGTTTGCAAATTCAAAAACTTGAAGGCAAGTTTTGAAACTTGTCAAAACTCTTCACATTCATAACCTATGAGTTTAATGTGTGTTTTATGAAAAGACTCTTATTAATCCATAACTTGAGGACAAGTTATGGAGTTCATCAAAAAACATTTATGAAAAGACTTTTCATGTTCCATAACTTGAGGACAAGTTATGAAACTCATTAAAGAATATTTAGATCAATTCTAGCAAGGAAAAATTATCATATAATATTTTATTGATCTAATCTAACTCATGTAGCAAGGCAATTCATATCAAATAATACAAATAATTAACCTATTATCTTAATATTTGACAAATGTCCTTTCATTTTCATAACATATGAGTTTAATGCCATTTTAATGAAGAGACCTTTCATTTTCCATAACTTGAGGACAAGTTATGGAGGTCATTAAAATTCATTTAGATCATATTTCTAACAACTAAAATTATCACATAATTCATGATCTAACTAAACTCATAACGAAGACAATTCTAAATCAACAATTTTAAAAGCAACTTTGTTTATCATATAAAACAACAATTATTTTAAACCTTTGACAATTATCATGTGGTTGGATGAGTATAAGCACTACCATATCATAAAAAATATTTCCAATGATCCAAAACAGTTTGTGGTAGTGTTCCTAATCCAAACCAGGCCAAGAAACTCGAAATTCTGCACACAGGGCCACCAACTCGTCGAGTACATGAACTGGACTCGCCGAGTTGGGCTGTTTCTGAGTAGACTCGGCGAGTCAGCCAGTGGACTCGGCGAGTCCATCAGTCAGATGCAAAAAATTTGACTTTTTCAGCTTTGAAAAACTAGTAAGCATCAAATATAATAGCAAACAATCCTAGGCTCTGATACCACTGTTGGGTTTTGAGCACTATAACGCTCCTATGGTGCACATGCAACCCTAAATGCTTTGGATCTATGTTTTCTCTAATTATACATGCATTTTGTTTTTCCAAAGCACTCTCCCTATCTAGCATACGATTGAAGATATATAATATAAAAACTTTAGTTTGGATGCTTACCTCTTGAGTAGGGTAGAGTTCTTGACCTTTGAAAGCTTGAGCACCTCAAGTGTGATGCCTCTATTGGTTCACAAACACCATATGCAAGAGGAGGATTTAAGAGAATAAGTTACTTATCTCAAAGAGATGTAGCAACCGATTTTGGTTCATGGGGGTTCTATTTATAGTGTTGCACATGCTAGGGTTACACTTTGTAAACCCTAATAACCTGTGACTTTCCACATTCTCATGCTCCATGGGTTTAACCTCCATGGACTATCCGTGGATTAGTTTAGCCCATAATCATGGATCATTGGCCCACACTATTAGAATCATTAATTTACATAATCAATCCCCGTATAGTTAATTAGTCTCTTTTGACCACAAACTTAATTCCAAGTTAATTCTTGATCAATACTAATTAAATAATATGATTTCATTAATATATTATACTTGTTATATATTAATAAATCATAAATAACCTTATTCTCAAAATTCCATCCTATCAAATTGCACTGGTGAAGGCAACCCAAAAAGGACCATGCTACAATCGGGTCAAGTGCATCCCAGTTATAGTTATGGGCTTAGACACCAAATCCAACAAAAACTACCTAATTCGGCATATTACCGGATGAGCCCAAAAGAAAATTTAATATTGCAGGAACAGGTAGAAGACTTGCTAGAAAAGGGGCTAATTCGTTAAAGTATGAGTCCTTGTGTTGTACCGGCTTTGTTAGTTCCAAAGAAAGATGGAAGCTGGAGGATGTGCGTGGATAGTCGTGCCATTAACAAAATCACTATCGATTACCGTTTCCCTATTCCTCGTCTTGATGATATGTTAGACATGCTAGAGGGGTCAAAGGTATTTTTGAAGCTTGATCGGCGTAGCGGTTATCATCAAATTCGTATTCAACCAGGTGACGAATGGAAGACAGCTTTCAAGACTAAAGATGGACTCTATGAATGGTTGGCCATGCCATTCGGTTTATCTAATGCACCAAGTACCTTCTCCCGTTTAATGAATCAAGTGTTGAAACCTTTTCTTAGGACATTCGTAGTTGTTTACTTTGACGATATTCTTGTTTATAGCAAGTTAGAGAGTGATCATCTAGTACACCTTAAGGAAGTTCTCACTGCTCTAGCCAACAACAAGCTTTATCCTAATCTTAAAAAATGCAACTTTTTGACTGATCGATTTTTTTTTGGGTTTCATTATCACTGCTTCTGGGATTCGAGTTGACGAAGAAAAGGTTCGGGCTATTCGTGAGTGGTCGGTGCCTCGTATTATAGGTGAAGTTCGAAGTTTCCATGGGCTTGCAACTTTTTATAGGATATTTGTGTGCAAATTCAGTTCTATCATGGCACCTATTACTCAATGCAAGAAGAAAGGTCAGTTTCAGTGGGGAGAAGAGGCAACTAAAAGTTTTGAACTCGTCAAAGAAAAGTTAACCACGACTCCTTTACTTGTGTTACCCAATTTTGATAAGCCTTTTACTTTGGAGTGTGACGCGTCGATTATCGGCATTGGAGCAGTTTTGTCGCAAGAGAACAAACATGTTGCTTTCTTTAGTGAAAATATTACTGTGGCAAGACAAAAGTGGACGACATACGAGTTAAAGTTTTATGCTATTTACCGTTCTGTTCAACACTGGGAGCAATATTTGTTTCATCGGGAGTTTGTATTATTTACCGATCACGAGGCCTTAAAGTATTTTAACAACCAACACAAGTTAAATCATATGCATGGCCGTTGGGTTTCATATCTTCAACGTTTTACTTTTGTTTTAAAACACAAGTCCGGTTCCCAAAACAAGGTGGCAGACGCATTGAGTCGATGAGCTGAGTTGTTGGTTATGTGCGGAAGATGATGATTTTAAACAAGTTTGTGCAGGACCGATCGTGCCACCCATGTCCAAATTAGACGGTTATCTTTTCTATAATCATCGCCTATGTATCCCGCGCACTTCATTGCACGAGCAACTTATCAAGGAATTACATGGTGGTGGTTTAGGTGGTCATCGGGAGTAACAAAACTTTGTCTCTCATTGAAAAACGTTATTATTGGCCACATCTCAAGAAAGATGTAGGACGTTTTGTTGCTAAGTGTCTTGTTTGTCAAACCGCCAAAGGGCGATCTCAAAATACGGGGTTATATATGCCATTGCCCGTCCCAGACGGTCCACGGGAAGACATTTCCATGGATTTTGTGCTCGGATTGCCTCGTACAGCTCATGGGGAACGACTCGGTGTTTGTTGTGGTTGATCGATTTTCCAAAATGGCACATTTTATTCCATGTAAGAAAACTGCTGATGCTTCCAATATTGCTTTATTGTTCTTTCGAGTAATTGTACGCCTGCATGGGGTGCCTTCTACCATTACTTCTGATCGCAATACCAAGTTCCTTAATCACTTTTGGCGTATACTTTAGCATCTGTTTCAAACTACATTGCAATATAGTACTTCTTTCCACCCTCAAACCGATGAACTGACGGATGTGGTTAATAAAACACTGGTAATTTGATTCGTTGTCTCTGTGGAGATCGCCCCAAACAACACGATCAGTTCTTAGCTCCAGCTGAGTTTGCCTTCAATAACATGGTCGACCGTTTCATCGGAAAGTCTCCGTTTCAGGTGGTTTATCAACGCCAACCAAAGCATGTTTTAGATCTGGTTTATATGCCTAAACTCTCTGGTCATAGCTTGGCTGTTGAGAATCTCGCAACAAAGGTAAAAGCCATTCAGATTGAAGTTAAACAAAGGCTTGTTGCTTCTAACGCGAAGTATAAAGAAGCTCGAGATAAACATCAGAGAGAAAAGGTTTTTGAGGTTGGTGATCTAGTTATGGTCCATTTACGCAAGGAGCGATTTCCAGTAGGGACATACAACAAGCTCAAGATGAAGCGGATTGGGTCATGCAAGGTATTTCGCAAAATTAATGACAATGCTTATGTCATTGACCTCCCCGAATCATATTCTATTTCTTCAACATTCAATATGGCAGACTTGACAGAGTTCAGACTCGATCCTTTATATCCTCATGCTCACTCAAGGACGAGTTCTTTTTCAACCAGGGGAGAATGATGTGGTATTATTTACTGAAATACCTTTCTGGCCGGATTGTGCTCCAGGAGGAATCAAGCCCAAGTTTTCATATTTTATTTGTTTTAGTCTTTATCCTATTTTATAGAAGTCTTTTAATAAAATTAGGATTATGTTAGGATTAGTATGGATAACCTTTAAATACCTTGTTAATCGCATGAACAGATTTTGGTTTTTGGCTTTTATCTAATTACGTTCTTGATTAATTAAAAGCAAGAGTCGAGAAACGTTTTCTCAGATTTTGTTTCGTCAGGCACACGATAGTTCCCCTGGTTTTCAAGCGTTTGACAATTCTATATTAATTGTCTATCTGTAGCTGCTTTCGGCTACATCACATTTTGGGTGTAAAATACATTGATTGCTTTAAATAATAAATGTAACCAAAATAAAAAAAGAAATGTTGCATGACAAATCACCCCAAATAACAAGAAATTGAAATGGTATGTCAAAAACAATGAGTGAAGACTCCCGTGGTATTCACTATAAGCCGTTGTGTAGAGAATGTGTAGAGAAGAAGACTCCTCATTTTGGTTCCTAATAACATGGTCAATAATAGTCCACGTGCTTTCTACAATTACTTTATTCCTACATCATTCATAGTGATGGTGATTGAGGATGACAATATTGATTAACTATGGATACGGATGCAGAAGAACCTAATCAGAAATTATTAGTGAATAAAAGCTTAATGACAAATAATTTGGTTAGTGGGCTCAAAGAACTCACTCCTCAATTACCCCACCAATCATCACTCAAGTAGGTCGAGTTGTACAGCTTAACCTAACCACACCCAAACCCAAACCACCTCTATAATTCTCTTTTTCTCTTTATCTATCTAAAAATCTTAAAGGGTGTATACGTATAAATAATATATTGCACTTTGTGCTATGTATAATGATTATAGCTTGTTTACAAAGTGAAAGAGGCCCTATCTTTCTTCAATCAGAATACTCTTATTATATCTACTCATTCTGAGTTGTGTTTCTTTAAGAAATCATGAGAGATATCATCGAAAGATTTCTTGTTCTTCCATTTTCCATGGGATGTATCCCAAAATCGAGCACACAAGCAGTCGAATCAACCCAATTCAAGGAGCAAACACCCGAATCAAAACAACTTGTCACAAGTATGATCCTTTTCTCTTTCACTCTCTGTATCTCAAAATTTCTACAGATTTGTTATATGAAATTCTGTATTTTAAAGGAACACAAGAAGGAAAAACCTCATGGGGATTCGTAGCTATAAAGGGATCCAACATTTCGAGAGGAATTCGAAGACTAATCATGTCGACCTTCGAAAGTTTTTCTCGAATCATAAGTAAGTAACGACAAATGATTGTAATCATGATAATTCTTGAGAAATTTTCGTTGATAACGATGAATTTCAGGTAACAAAGAAGGAGATGAAATTGAAATGGAGATCGAACTGGAGATAGGGTTTCCTACAGATGTAAAGCATGTTACGCATATAGGATATGATGGATCGATGACGACTAACCCTGTGAAAAATTGGGAGAATATTGAAACGCCTGAAATTCTTTCGTTTCCTTGTATTTCTTTGAAACAATTTGAGAACGCCATGGCTGCACAATCTGAAACTCTGGTTGCTTGAAATAACAAAATTGATTCATTTTAATGGATCCTAACATACGCATTCGCCCAGTGAATTGAGAGAGATTATAATGATTGTGAAGAAATGTATAGTATAGGTGGAAAGGAGCAATGGTCTGGATTGGAGTGATTTTTTTTTTTTTTTTTTTTTTGAGTGTTGTTACTAATACAAGATCTGATTTTTGTGTTACTAATTTAACTTGTTAACGAATCTCATACAAATTTGTTAAAGTAGAATATGTTACAAAATAGCCTATCATATTTGTTACGTTATATTATTTAAAATAGAGAAATATCAAGTCTAATGACTCTTAATTTGTCAATTAATTTGTGTGTCACTTTTATAATATAGGGAATATGACTTATTAAGGTAATTTACTTTTCGGTTTGTTCACGTCTAGGTAACTATCTTTTTTTTGTATACATCTAGGTAACAAACTTGTTGGAAGTGTTCACATAATAACCATTATGACCTGTTTATATCCTAGATGTGAACACTTTTAACAAGTACGTTACCTAGATGTGTACAAAAAAAATAGTTACCCAAATATGAACAAAACGAAAAGTAAAAGTAAATTACACGAGTGGTCCCTGTGGTTCGGGGGAATTTATGTTTTTGGTCCTTAACTTATTTTTTTTAATTCGGATGGTCCCTACTGTTTATTTTTGTTGCGTGTTTGGTCTTTGTCTTACCTAAAAAGACTATTGGGCCTTTATTAGTTTATTTTTTTAATTAATTTTCTTATTTATGTATTTGTTCTTTATATATTTAAAAAAAATTAATAGACACCACATATCTGTATCTACTCACCATCCCACCTCTCATCCTTCTTAACTTCTATTTATTTTTCATCTTTAGTAATATGGACGTCTTCATCATCCCTTCTTTTTTCGGTCCTTCAAGTCCGTCGAATCAACACCACAACCTACTAAAGATGAAGAGACATTGGGTTATACTGTTGGTTCGCCAGAGTTGAAGGACCAAAAAAAAAAAGATGGTGAATACGTCGATGTCACTAAAGATGGAAAAGAAATAAAAGTTGAGGAGAATAAGAGATGGGATGGTGACTGATGAGACCCAAATTAAATTTCTCAAATGTGGTTTCAGATTTATGGTGAGGATATACATATATGTAGGGTCTATTAATTTTTTTAAATATATAAAAAAATAAATACATAAATAAGAAAATTAATTAAAAAATAAACTAATAAGGGCACAATAGTCTTTTTAGGTAAGACAGAGACCAAACGCGCAACAAAACCATCCTAGTTAAAAAAAATAAGTTAGGGACCAAAAACACAAATTCCCCAAACCACAGGGACCATTCGTGTAATTTACTCTTACTTTTCGTTTTGTTCATATTTGGGTAACTATTTTTTTTGTACACATCTAGGTAACGAACTTGTTAAAAGTGTTTACATCTAGGATGTAACATGCTACAGCAGGTCATAATGGTTATATGTGAACACTTCCAACAAGTTTGTTACCTAGATGTGTACAAAAAAAAGATAGTTACCTAAGTATGAACAAACCGAAAAGTTAATTACCTTAATAAGTCATATTCCCTATAATATATCAATTACCTAAATGTATAAGTTGCAAAAGTAAACACTATGAAAAGTGATAGCTACATTGGTTTCCAAATAACAGAATACTTTTTTTTTTCTACGTTATTTAGTTTTGCTAAACATTTCTTGTTTAAAATTTCACAAACCAAATTAGTTATCCAATTTCACCAAATTGAACTACATAAGACACAAAAATAACATAATCAACTACACAATTTCCTTACACGTCTTAAGCTCCTTCAACATTTTCACAACATCAAGCATAGTAGGCCGTTTCCTAGGCTGATCATTCGTACACAATTGAGCAATCGCAAGCACCCCCAACATTTGATCCTTCCACATCCAACGCCCATAAAAACAAGGATCCAAAACCTCAAACTCCCTCCTATTTCCAACCATACCCCTCACCCATCCCACAAGATTCTCACCTTCCACGTCACCCTGTCCAGTTGGCTCCCTCCCCGTCACCAACTCCAACATCACCACCCCAAAACTATAAACATCTCCCTTACTCGTCGCCACCATTTTCTGACCATACTCCGGAGGAATATACCCAAACGTCCCCGCCAACAACGTGCTGACGTGGCTCTCACACGCGCTAATTATCCTCGCGAGACCGAAATCCGACACACGTGCTTCAAACTTACTGTCTAACAAAATATTACTCGATTTGATATCGCGATGAATAATATGCGGGACGAATCCATGGTGTAAAAACGCCAGTCCGCGAGCCGAACCGATACAGATCTTGTATCGGGTCGGCCAGTCGAGTGCTTCGACTGCGTCTGCACGGTTTCTCAACCAGACATCCAGACTCCCGTTCGCCATGTATTCGTATATTAAAAACCGTTCGTCTGCAAAGACACAGTATCCCAGTAACGGGACGAGGTTTTCATGTTTGACTTTTCCGATTGTTTCCATTTCGGCGAGGAATTCGCGTTCGCCGTGTGTTCGGCCGCCGTTGAGACGTTTGACCGCGATGGTTTGACCTTCCGGAAGTAACGCTTTGTAAACTGTCCCGAAACCGCCGTCTCCGATTATGTAAGTTTTGCTGAAATTTTCGGTTGCGGATAAGATGTCGTGGTGGTTTAAACGGAGTAGAGATTGCTCGAATGTTGCGATGTTTATGCTCAAGGGTTCTTTTGGTCTTTTTCGTAAAAGACCATATTTGGAATTTGTCTTTGTTGCCATTGAAATCTTGTCTGAATTTACATCTTTTTGTTTCATTATCTTTCTTCTCAGGAGAACAATGAGTAAAAACACCACGAAAACGAATGTCACGCTAAGTATAATCCCTAAAAGAGAAGCGTGATTTGGTTTGTAGGTGTGTTGGGAAGGGGAAGGGTAGTTTGGGAAACATGAGTTTGGTTTGGTGCAAGATTCGGGAACGGGTCCGGTGAATTTGTTCCCGGAGAATCCGACGAATGAGAGGCCTTCGATGTTGCAAATACTACAGGGGAATGAATTTTGGAAGTTGTTTTGGGAAAGGTCAAGATAAGTCAACGCGGATAGGGTGGAGAGAGGAGGTAAGGTGTTGTTGATGGTGTTATTGTGAAGATCTAGAATGGTAAGCGCAGTTAGATTGGAAATGGAAGGATCAAGAGCACCGGAGAAAAGGTTGTTGCTGGCGTTTAGAGCGAAAAGAGAGGTTGTTGTTGTAAGGGTAAACGATAATCTTCCAGTGAAAGAATTCATGCTAACATCCAAGTATTGAAGAGTCTCGATGTTGAAGATTGATGAAGGTAAAGAGTTGGTGAATGAATTACTTGATATATCGAGTTTAACCAAATTCGGCATCATGGAACCGAAATTATCAGGGATTGAACCGGTTAATTTGTTGTGAGAAATCACCAAACCCTGGAGATTTTTCATCGAGAAGAATTGGGGAACAATTCGGCCGGAAAGAAGATTAAAGGAGAGATCGAGTGAAGTTAGGTTTGATAATTCGGAAATCTCGTAAGGAATGATTCCAGAAAGTTGATTATGAGAGAGAACTAGCTGTCGTACAATGATGCATTGCTTGATCGACGTCGGAATTTCGCCAGAAAAGTTGTTGTTCGACAGATCAAGCATCCCGTAATGCTGGACAAATTCGGAATCAGGTAACGCGACTTTCTGAAAACCGGAACAGATCTCTGTAGGTATGAATCCGGAGAGTTTGTTGTTTGATAGAACAAGGTTATCGAGTAATTCCAGTTGAGATATCGATTTCGGAATTCCACCGGTGAGTTTGTTTGATCCGAGATCCAAAGAAACCAAATCCCTGCATTCGAAAAGCTCTAATGGAATCTCACCGGTTAACATGTTGCCATGGAGCGACAAATTCGTCAGATTCTTAAGTTCACCGATTGAACTCGGGATATTTCCTTCGAAGAGATTGTTATCCAATTGCAACCTTTCAATCGTGGACGCCATTCCGATTGTCTCCGGAATACGACCTTGAAGCAAGTTATTCCCGAGTGAGATCTCCATTATCGTTTTCGATTCCCAGAGCTGAACCGGAATCGTTCCATGGAATCGGTTCTTTGACAATTCCAATGTAATCAGTTCCAGATCTCCCAAATACGAAGGTATTTCTCCGTGTAATTTGTTTCCAGATAACACCAAATCCGTGAGGAATTTGCAATTCCTGAAAGTGTTGTTGATTGTTCCGGTGAACTGATTATTAGACAACACCAACCCACGTAACAGATTCCCTTCACAGATTCCCACCGGAAGCTCGCCGGAAAGCAAATTGGAACTCAGGTCAAGAAAAGTCAACGACGGAATGTTAAGCGGAGGAAGATTTCCAGTAAACAAATTCTTCGACCACAATATCGATTCCACTTCTTTCCATTTCGAAATCCAAATTGGAATCGATCCAGATACCCGATTTGAAAAAAGAGTAAACGAGTTCATCGATTCGAGGTTTGCAAGAGAATCAGGTAATGATCCGGATAACGAATTAAACCCTAGATCAAGAATCCTCAAATTCGTACACTTTCCCATCGATTCAGGAATTCGTCCACTTAACCCTGCATTGTTGGCGATGAAGAACACAAGATTTTTCAACTCACCAAAGTTTGAAGGCAATCCTCCTTCGAAACAGTTTTGTGCTATATTCAATTTAGTCAAACTATTCATCTTCGACATTTGATAAGGAATATGCCCTGTAAGCTTGCAAGAATGAAGATTCAAATAAGTAAGATCTGTAAGAGCACCAATTGTTTCCGGGATTTCACCAGTGAAGGAATTCATCGAAAGATCAAGAGTCATGAGTTTCTTCAAGTTTCCAATTTCTGAAAATATTGATCCTGTAAACCGATTATGACTTGCATCGAAGAACAGCAACTTACTTAGATTACCTAAGCTTGAAGGAAGATCACCAGAGAAGAGATTTAAACTGAGATCAAGAGACTGTAATTTCTCGAGGTACCCGAGTTCACACGGAAGCCTGCCCGAAAACGAATTTGATTTGACCGAGAGTTCGGTTAGGTTTCTCAGCTGCCCGATTGTCTCTGGTAAACTGCCCGAAAACCCATTGCTATCAAGAACAAGAACTTTGAGGCTTCTCATGCTTGAAAAGGTATTGTTATCAAGA